GGCCACAAAACCACAGCTCGCCCCTATACACGAAGCCAAGCCAGAGCACAACTAAGTGCAGTACAGCCATCTTCTCAGAAAAACTCTTCACAAAGTTCAAGAGGTCAAGACACGAAGGCTTTAGCAACTAATCCACACCTAATGACCCACCTAAGTGGTACTCAGGACATCACTCAAGAAATCACTCAAGATATCCCTCAAGTAATTAAGGAACAAAAGAAGAAAAGGCACACTAGCCTGGGAACTTCCTCTCTGCCCAGAACATTGGAGGCTATACACCACACCTCCTCAACAGTATTTATAGGAACTCAAACACTGAGATCCTGCTCTGTTCCAGTAACAAGAAGCCGAAAGCACCAGCCTGAAGATGACGAGTGAGACCTCGTCGAAACGTCGCCTAGACACCCCAACTTTTACACGGGAAGACACCCGAGGACACCAAAACCTGCATTCCTGTACCCGTGAAAATCTACGAAAGCATATATATATATATATATATATGAGACCTTACATTTTTTGTTTCACCTGGAACTGAAAACATAATCTGTGTTTATTTATTTTTTTTAAAAAAACACCCAGAAGGCACAAATATACTTATTCAACAGACACTCTTATCTCATTTACAAAACAATGTACGGAGTTGCTAAACTGTTTTCCCAACCCATCCACAAATACACAAACATATACACATTTTGCCTGCCAATTTGGGGGGAATTTGGACAAGGCAGTCTGATTATAAAATGGGAAACCAAGTATGGGAATTTTGTGATATTGGACTAGGGACAAAGGAGGTCCACCATTGCTGGATTGTCCTGCAACATAGGAAGTTGTCTTATACAGTGGTACCTTGGTTCTCAAATGCCTTGGTTCCCAAACACTGAAAACCCAGAAATGTTTTGGTTTTCGAATGTTTTTTTTGGAAACCAAATGTCCAATGCGACTGTTGGCTATTGTTTCAGGGGTGCCTGCACAATCAGAAGCTGTGGCTTAGTTTTCAAACATTTCAGAAGTCAAACGGACTTCCAACTTTGCTTCAGGATGAGAACAGAAATCGTGCGGCGGCGGCAGAAGGCCCCATTAGCTAAAGTGCTGCTTCAGGTTAAGAACAGTTTCAGGTTCGGGGCCCCGCTAGGGGCGCATTGGAAGATAGCAGACAATACCATCTCTCCGTCTCACACGAGGCAATTAAGAGGCTAATATGGGAGTATGTAGCCTCCCTTGTTTCCTCAGGGAATGGGGAAAACACTGCCTTCACCTGCGGTTGCCGATAAATCACCCCTGAGTTTGAAAGAAGAAGGGGGTGAGGGCACTAGGCGCACAGCACTCGTGTGGGATGGCTCTCCCAATGCTGTCTCTGATTGCGCGACCTGATTGCAGGAGCTCAAAATAACAATTAGAGAAAGCAAATGCACATGTTTCGAGTGAAGAACGGGAGTTTAGACTGCTAATTGAACTGACCTCTGAAGTTGAGCGACGGGCTGGATTCAACAGGAAAATATATTAAGAAGAAGATACATCAAAGGGTTGGTATGTCGGAACAGGACGGAAAGGGGGGGACTTTTCTTTTTTTCTCTATGTGATTACCTAACAATCCCTCCCCAAGAAGAACCGTTGGACAATTGACTATAAGCGGGATGATTAAGAAACTGTGTGGAAATGAATTACTAACCAAAGGCTTGGCTTATGGAGATCTGGAAAAGAATGAAAGGTTTTTGGAATGACGCAGTTATAAAAAGAGAGTCACCATGTTGGCAGGCTTTGTTGTAGGATTGACGATCAAGGGGGGAGGAGGCCATGGCTTTGTTATTATATTGGACTCTTGACAGAAACCCCTGAGAAGATTGAGAAGGGAGTGACAGGCCTGCGAAGATTAATAAGCAGACGTTAAGATTGTTCTTATGGAAGTGATGAAATGCGTCTGCTGCATGAATATGACTCTTGGATGAATGGAAAAATCCACACAGGATTATAAAAATGCTTGTTTTCAACTCGCTTGTGGAGACTATCAGAGGTCACAAAGTAAAGAAAGGAAAAATATATGAAAACAACAAGAAGAGATGAGGAAAACAACAAAGAAGGAATGGATAGAATTGTGAAAATTATTTGGACAGAATTGTGAACATCAAAGCAGCAACATGGGTACTCTCAACAAAAATTTGGCTCTGTAATTTGGAATTAATGTGATTTAATTGATTTGCTAATAATTTTTTTTTTAAAGAACAGTTTCAGGTTGAGAACGGACCTCAGGAACAAATTAAGTACATAACTCGAGGTTCCACTGTATAGAAGAAGCTCTCGCTGGGGATCTGGCAGCGGCGGCGATCTGGCGTTTGCTCCAGCTCCTGCTTATTTTGCTGCTCTTGCAAACCATCATGTCTCCATCCTTGGCGCCCTTTCGCCAGCCCTCGCTGCCCGGCTGCAGCGGCTCTGGCGGGCAAGCCCAAACTTACTTGAGATCTCCCCTTTATTTTGTTTAGTGCGTGTGCGCTTCCCCTCCTGAAAGTGTGGGTGGGTGGTGAGTTTCCCCCTGCGTTGCTGCTTTGAGTTCTGAGTGTTTCCTGCTTTGCTGCCGGCCTCCCAGTCCCTGTTTTGCGTTGTTGGAGTGTGTGTTCTTTGCCACTTGCCTCCCAGTCTCGGCTGATGGGAGAGGGGTCTGTTTTCTGGGCACGGCGTATTTTCCTCAGCGTTCTAACGAGCTGCCTGCCTCTTTAAGAGGCTTTCTTCCTCTGCCGCCAGGCTTTGGGTTTTCCTGGGGCTCTCTTCCCTACCCCCCTTGCATAGTCCATTTAAGCCACGGGTGCCTGGCAGGGCTGCCTGTTGCCAGCTTTCAGCTTTCCCATCTCCGTTTAGAGCTTGGAAAATATCTGCTCCTTTAAGGAGTCGGCATTGATACCCCCCCCCCCCACAAGTCTGGGCTGGTGGAAATAATCCTCAAATATCAGATGGTGCCACTTTGCAAGGTGTGGTTGTGTGTGTGTGTGTGTGTGTGTGTGTGTGTTATCTCTCCTCTCCCACCTTTTTTGCAATCGGTAGTACATGAAACAAGCCTCTCTGTTGTTAATTATTTAAACGTTGTTGTTTTTTAATTTAAAGATGGCTGGGTGCTCAAGTTCCTAGTCCCTGGGGTGTGCTTGTCTCATGAGCTATTGGAGTAGCCGCCCTTCTGGGGAAATAGTTAATGGGCCCTTCCACAATGGTGTTCCGTTTCTAGACAGAATAATAGCACATCGGTGGTGGATTTAATTCTGCCTTTTATTAGTTGTTCCCTGTGGCTACCATATTGTCGATTTCTGGAGTGGCACAGCAAAAGAGGGGACCACCCCCCACTCTCCCCTAGGACATTTGTGGCATGAACAGCTATAGGATTTCATCGGGAAGTTCTAGGACTGGTGGGAAAGGAAGTATGTAGGACAGCCCCATAACTTTTGCAGGTGCAAATAAAATTGATGCATGTCCAATGAAAATGACTTTAGAAGCACCTCGTGTTCCCTGGACTTTTAGGACAATACATGGTGCTTTTGTTTGACACATAAAAATCTAGTTGCTCCCAAAGACTTGTTTTTCTGTCTCTGCACCACAACACTGCTTTGGAGTGACTTCTTTCCGACTGGTGGTTAAAATGACTATTGGTTGGTGCTGGTGCTTGAGGATGTTGAAAGGTGCTTAACAAAAAAATGTTTGGGTGTTTGTTTGTTTTTTAAAAAAAATTCCAATGAAAGAGATCATTAAAAAAAAACTGTTCCAGAAAAAAATCTTTAAAAGAATCAAGTCTTTATTTTTTCTTCTTAAAAAAGTCCTTAAAAGTATCTTTACAAAAATTGTCCAGTAGCCCCTTAGAGACCAGTTTGTTATGGCATGAGCTTTCGTGTGTATGCAGACTTCTTCAGATATCTGATATCAGGTATCTGAAGACCAACATGGCCACCTACTTGTATTAAACAATAATAATCCCTAAAGCCATGTTTCTAGGGCTAGATCGGCCACTGACCTGACCCCACTCATCTTATGTTGGACTACAAAGCTCTTAACAGCTTGGGATCAGCTTACTTGAGAGATTGCCTTCCCCCATGTATTCCCAACTCAACTGCTTTGATCTCAGAAAACTGGCGCAGTTACTGGTTCCACACAAAACACCTGCACTTGTGAAAAATCAATATTTTAGTGTGGCAGCATAGGGAGACTTTGGAACTCCCTGCCTATTGATACCAGGCAGGCGCCTTCACTACTTTTTCTTTTTTCCTTTTCTTTTTAGTGCCTGCAAAAATAAATAAATGTTTGTTTAGGCAAGCCCATCCAGACATGTAAAATATGGACATGTATTTTAATCTGCTTTTTAGCATATGGTTCATTTGTTATTATTTTTAAATATTTTAAATAGTTGCGTGTAACTTCTTTTACTGATAAAATGAAAACGGTTTTTAAAAAATCAAATTATGATAGTAATAATAAATGTGCAATGGAATACAGTTTTTCATAACAAAACAGTTTCTTATCAGAGCAACAGCATAATAAAGGAAGAGAAAATTAGTGACACGTATATTAATATGAATGTTTTGGACTCTGTCCTCTATAAAAGTTATCTAAGGCTGTGTACATATCACACTTTTAAAGCACACACACTTCAAGAATTCTGAGAGCTGAAGGTTACCCCGAAAGAGCTATAACTCCCAGCACCCTTAACAAACTACAGCTTCCTGGGTGCTGCTTTTTCTAGGTGCTTTAAATGTATGGTGTGCACTCAGCCTAAGCCTGGACTCCACTTGCTTGAGCCTTGTGTCAATTGGGGGGGGGGGGAGATTCCCTCACTCCAGTTTCCTTGCAAATATTAGAATGCATATTTTCCCCCCCCTTAATTTTAGAAGAGTTTCCCCCAGTGATGGCTGCTGTGAGGTTTGTTTCAGCATTAATCTTGCACTGACTGCTCTGTTTGAATTGAACAAGCTGGGCTCGCCCCTTCTTGCAAAGGAAATTGTGAAACACCTGCAAGCACGCAAGGGAGCATGGCTAGCATTGTTCCAGGGCTGAATTGCATGAAACAGGCTGATCTGCCAGAGAAAGGTAATCAGCGCTCGCACCCCGGTGGGCAGATCGGTCCCGCACAGCAACCCTCCCTAAAAAAAAGCTGATAAACTATGGTGTTTCCTGCCCCCCCAAAAAAGCTCAAAAACTCTGTGCAACCTTCCCTTTAAAAAGCTCAACAACTTTGGGGCACCCTCTGTTAAAAAAGGGTTGGGGGTGACAAAAAAAAAAATCCGCACCGGGTACCACCTGACATTGCTAGCCTCTGGCTGAGCCAAACTTGGAAAGAAGCGGCGTGTTTTTATTTTGTGTTTTCCCCCTGCCAGCCAGCCAGTCAGCCAGTCTTCTGGGAGCGCCGGGAAGACCCTTCCCACGTTCTCGCCTTCCCAGGTCCAGCGCTGATTCTCTGCTCGGCGGGAGGAAACCTCCGGAGTCTCCGCCTCCGCGGAGGAGCCGCTTCCCCGAGGGCGTCGCCCACTTCCTTCTTCCTCCTTCGGACGCTGCCGCCTCTCCGGCTCTGCCTCGGGGCGAGACTTTCCTCTGGGCAGGGGCGCCATGGCGACCCCCGAGGAGAAGGGGGAGGGGAAGCAGCGGCGG